ATTCATTAGAGCTCATAAATAAAATTGAATTAAAAAATAAGTTACACAAACAAATTCAAAGGGACAATAATCATGATCAAAGAAATCAATATAAATGCTTAAGAACCAATATCAAATCACTCCTGAGAACTGAATTTTTAGCATATCAGCATCAAATTGAGGGAAATGTGATGACAGATCCAAGTAGATTCTGGTCATTTATAAAATCCAAAAGGAATAGAGTTGGTATACCAACTGAAATGAAGTACAAAGGAGACACGTTTTCAGACAAAACAGATATAGCCAATGCTTTTGCACATTATTTTAAATCTATATATGAAGCTCCAACTCCAACTGATAACAGCAGGATTGACTGGGGTAACTTCAATTTCTCCTTTATAACCGAGGAAAAAGTAAAACAGGTAATTAAAAAACTGAAACCAAAAAAAGCTACTGGCACAGATAATATTCCATCATATATCTATAAGGGCTGCTCAGAAATCCTCTGCAAACCACTGGCTTATATTTTTAATACAGCAATAAAAAATAATAAATTTCCAGATATGTTAAAACCAACTGTTATTACCCCTGTACACAAAAATGGCAAGCAAGACTTGATTGAAAATCACCGCCCTATAAGTGTATTGAATTCAATCTCTAAATTATTCGAAATGATACTATATGATGATCTATTTGATAATGTTAACCAAAAGATAACTGGTCACCAGCATGGCTTTGTTAAGGATAAATCGACGGCTACAAACTTATGCGTGTTCACTCAATATGCTTCTATGGCGATAGGTGACAAAAAACAGTTGGATACTATATTCACAGATTGTGCCAAAGCTTTCGACAAGGTGGACCATCAAATACTTTTGAATAAACTCATCAAGTACAATGTGTCAGAGAACTCCTACAATTTGATGAAATCGTATCTCACATGTAGACCACAACAGGTAAAACTAGGATATACTTTTTCAGACACCTTTATTGCTACCTCGGGTGTGCCTCAAGGTAGCAATTTGGGTCCTCTGCTTTTTACATTATTCATAAACGACCTGCCTGAGTGTATTCAAGACTCATCCTGTTTACTTTTCGCGGATGATTTCAAAATTTTTAAAACTATTTCAAATATCGAAGACTGTGTTCTTTTACAAAATGATGTCCATCGTGTAGCGGACTGGTTTAAGGAAAATAAAATGTCTCTCAATATCCAAAAATGCTCTGTGTGCACTTTCACCCGACGAACAAACTATATAGAGCATGAATATGCTGTAGAAGAAATAAAACTGAACAGAAAAAGTCAAATTAAAGATTTGGGTGTAAATCTTGAGTCTGACATGAGATTCAATACACATTATAAGTACATTGTAAATAGAGCCTTTAAGGTACTTGGATTTGTTATCAGAAATACCAAAAATTTTAGTATAAATACTGTTATTAGATTATATAATGCTCTAGTTAGACCTCATTTGGAGTATGCATCAGTAATATGGGCACCTCAGACGAATAGTCATAAAGATTTGATAGAAAAAGTGCAAAAACGCTTCCTAAGATACTTGTACCTGAAAGATAACAATACTTACCCGCATAGGGTGTCTTATGAATCTATGATGGCGACATACAACATACAATCTTTAAATGAAAGAAGAGTTCTACAGTCTGTTTTATTTATATACTATGTAACGAACAATGTTAAATACAAAGATTGTCAAATGATTAACTTCATAAAATTTACAATACCAAAAATTAATTTAAGAATATTGAATAGAGCATTATTTTTCTTTGACATATACAGCTCCTCACCTCTTAATTTCATGTTGAGAGAATGCAATACGTTCATTGAGAAAAATGACATTGATTTTTTTAATACTAGTCCTAAAACAATCAGAAATAATTTTATTACGAGATCTTAAATGTGATGTAAAGATGTACCTAGTTAGTATTTGTGTAGTATAGGTCCTTATGTTTGTTTTGTGTTGTGTCTTATGATGTAGGTCTGTCAGGCTACTTTTTTTTTTATTAGACATTTTAGATAACCATTTTCTTAGTCAGTAAGCTGCCTTACATGTAATTACCTAGTGTGTTTGTAAGAAGTAAATAAATAAATAAATTATGCTGTCATTGTGATGGCTACTAGATTTCAATTAGAAATTATGGGAAGTGCTGTCATAGTGACACTAAATATTTCAGTTCAACAGACCGGCACAAAAAAACCAGCCAGCAAAAAGCTGTTCGCCCTGGTAACTTTCTTAATTCCTGTCCAGTTCTGGTGAAATTTCGATCAAATCGTATATTCATGCTTCAGAATGTTGGCCTAAATATAAGTACCTGGAAGGAGCTGATGGCTTGATCATTATACAGGGAGAAGCAAAAGTAACTCTTTCACCCTCAACTTCTGAACCCAGCGTCGCCCAGGTGGGGTCTCAGTTGGCCAGACATATTTTAAATCACCGGCATTTCAATTTGAATGCACGCACATTCCATTGGTTGACTATAGCTGCTTGAAACACTCCATTCTGTGATATTTTGGGGCGAATTTGGTATTTAGTTAGCTACCAAGATAGTAACAGTGTAGTAAACAGCTTCGGGGTCTGAGAAGCCTCACCTGTGTAACAAAGATATTTACATTTCATTTTAAGAGATACATGTAAATTCCGATAAAAAAATAGACTATTTTTTGTTCTTCCATATACTAGGTACATGCTACTTGTCTAGCTGATAACTTGAACATTTTGATAATTAGTCTTGCATGGAATCTTACAGAATTGAGTGTTGTATATTTTTTTAATAGTTTTCGAAGATATCATGTTATTTCCCATTTTATATGTCTCTGGTGATATCTTATGAATTAAACTTATAAAAAGTTTCTGTTTAATATTACCATGAAGCATCATGAAGTAAATACCCCTAAAAACTCATTACACATACAAATCTGGAAAATTTTCAAATGTTTTTTTCCTCGTATTCCTAATTATGGGTTTTCACATCGAAGATTACATGGGACTGCTTTGAAACACTCATGCAACTGGGAAAGGGCAACAAAGTCACACTTATGTGGGTTCCAGGGCATGAAGGTATCAAAGGAAATGAGGCAGCTGATCGCCTTGCAAAAAAAGGTGCAGCATCTGCACTTTTTGGTCCAGAGCCTTTTTGTAGGATAAGCAAATGTCACCTAAAGGGAGAACTCGGGAAATGGAAAGAAATTGAAAAGACCTCCTACTGGATAGCAACTCCAGGTCAACGATAAGCGAAAAGGTTCATCAACCATTCGCAGAACCGAGCCAAAGAGCTACTCAGCTTTAGCAAACCAGAGCTAAAGCTAATCACAGGCTTTCTCACAGGACACGGCCCTCTGAGGTACCACCTCAAAAAGATGGGTTTGGCGGAGACTGACACTTGCCGCTTTTGTAACAATGCGACCGAAACCGCAGAACACATACTTTGCTCATGTGAAGTATTAGTCCGCCAAAGGCTGAACCACCTAGAGCAGGTCTATTTCACCCCTGCTGAAGTGGAAAAGTCAACCGTCAGGAAAATCGTAGGCTTCATCAGAAGTCTAGGGTTAGAGGACCAAAACTAGATAGGGGTAATCACAATAGATCTTCTAGGTCGCAGTGATCGAGAGGTCTTCCAGCCTATACGACCCATCTACAATATACAATCTACAATCTAATTATGGGGTACATCAGACCCCACCTGGGTGATGATGTACAGATTTTTCACCTGGCTGACGCCGGGTTAACAAAGGTGTGCAGTTATACTTAGCTTCATCATGTTTTCGATTATGTGTGATCCCTTTCCAACACAATGGTCCCTTATTCACGTTGATAATCACTTTTCAAGTTAAGAAAGTCTGGATTTTTCAATGTTTATTAACAATAACCCTCTGCTTCATCATGTTTTGAATTGAAGTGTGATTCTATTTCATCCCTGCTTGACACATTATTTGTTGATTCTCGTCAATATCTTATTTTCGAGAGGAAATACAAGTGTATAGAGAGAGTTGGAATTTTTCAATTATTCAGAAACAATAGAGCATCTTAGGGATGAAATGCAGAGACTCGTTCGTCTTCGTCCGGTTTTGTCAGAGACTCTTCAAGAGCTATGATTTGCCCTTCAAGGAAACTTTCATGACTTATTGAGAAATTTGATCAGCCTGATGCCACGGCGGTCGAATGCTGTAATTCAAAGTCGAGGAGGGCATACTCGTTATTGACTACAGGTCTGCAGTTTGTTTATTGAAATCAAGTTCTTTTCCGGTTAGTGCTGGAGAAATCAGGTATAGAAATAGGTGATATCAATTTCCTGAGTTGTTCATCAATGAGTATATGTAGGCTCTGATTATTGTTAATGAGAATAAAAAAATTACATACTTTCTTGAAACACTCGTATCTCCTCTCAAAAATAAGATCATGACATGAATCAGAACCTATTGTGTCAATAAAAAATCACACTTGATCCAGAAAAATGTTGAAGCCAAGTTCAACCACTCAATTTAGCCACAGGGCGTTGAGAAATAAAGGACGAAATAGTAACTTCGGTTTTTTCCCTGTTCAATGATCAAATCATCAGCTATTCACAGCAACTAATACTAAGGCTGACATCCCGCAACATGAATCTACGATCAGATAGAAATTTCACAAAAATCGGGCAAAGTATTAAAAAAGTTACAGGTTGAAAAATTCGGGCAAATTATTTGCTAGCTGTTTTTTTTGCCGGTGATGTATATAAGGATCGAAATATATTGCTAGTGGTGAAGAAAATTTGTTACCCACCGTGGTATTATTATTATAGTACTATAGTAGTATCAGTATTATTACTACCACGGGACTTTTATACCCCTCGGTTGAAGACAAGGGATATAATCTTGGTGCCTGGGTGATAATGAGATTCTTCACTCTCTTGGTGAATTAACATCTATTCTACAACACAAGTGTGTTACTGGGTTATGATGGTTTGTGATTCTGAAGGGAGACAAAAAAATCATGGAAACATATTCTTAAGTATAAACCACTCACCTTTATATAGTCTAGACCACACACCAGCAGCATTCAATAAAATCAGCGACACTAAAAACCATTCACGGCGATAAAGCCCCTTATAGGGAGATATAAGTCCCGACATTTGGCAATCCGACAGTCAGTCCATACTTAGTCGACAAGAAAAAACTAATTTTATCGTCACTGCACTTAAGAACGGTCGCACTTCATCTGGTCATTTACTATTGGAGAACAAGTGGTTTTACAGTTAATTTAGGAGCAATAGTGGAAAACGAGTATCTCGAGTAGTAATTTTCACAGGATTATTCAACAACGCACGACAATATACCGGATGGACAAGATAACCGGAACATCCCTCGAACTTTCAAGTAGTTCAAGATGAAAATTTCATTTTTTTTTGAACTCATATCCTTCCTATTGCATTCATTGGTGTCATCTTTTTATAGAGCCATATTTAGCAAAACCAGATTTTTGAATTTAACACATTTTTTATTCGCCTTTTGATTTAAGAGATCGTCAGATTCGCTGAAGCTCGGCAAAAGTATTATTTTTGATACGAAATCATCTATGTTGTATCAGAAATTTGATACCCAGTGGGAAAAAAATAACACCAGGTCACACCAGCTAACTCCCTTGGGTGTCCCCTGAGGTCCTGATTATTTTAGTGAGAAATAACACTGATATTTTTAACACCATCATAGGTTGTCATTCGTTCTTACACACAGTCGAGAACTACAACAGAGTACCTAGTGCTAATTTGATCGTTTCGTGTTATTCAACACCAAAATGGTGTAACAATACAATCATTTGGTAATTATTTTGACACTGTATCTGTGCGTTTGTTGCTTATACTGATGATATTATGATATACGAATATTTTTTTGTTGTGAAAACACACTCACTGATCAATTATGATGAGAATACAGAGAGAGAGCTCGGAATTGACCTATCCTCCAAAGAAACCCCTAAAACATCAGAAGAGCAACTTCAATATAAGAGAAAAGTGCAGGAACAAGCCAATAAATCAAGAAAACTAAGACCACCACGGTTGACAACTGACGATTGGATATTGGTTCGGACTCAACGAGTTGGGAAAGAATATCTCACAAGAGGTCCTTTTGAAGTCAAGAAAGTAAAGTATATTGATGGTGTACTAGAATATGTTCACTTCGATGTTGCTGACAAAAAAGAAATGGCGCATATTTCTAATATTCGACAGTTTCATCACAGGAGTGATGATTTTTTTGGACGAGGAGTTTTGTAGGAATATACAAGATATTGTGTCATGGTGATAATAATAATATCTAGTATTGATTGTACTTATGAAACTTGAAGTATTAATAAAACTAAGGAGGAATTATTCCAAGAGTTATTATCAATATTGTTACGATATTACTATCGAAAGTAATTGCTTTTCATCTCTTTGATGTTTCTTTCGAATGAATATTTCAAAACCTCTCTAAATTACCACATCCATGTGATTTTTTACCATAAATGTGCCAATTGACACCACTGTACACGGTATCGAATTTCTAATAATATTGATATAATATGGCTCATCAAGTGTTGATTCAATAAGAGTTATTTCTGAAATCCACTCGATTGAAATTATACCCGAATATTTTTCACAGTGTATGAACAAGGAAGGGATTACGTTTCTCTTTCCTCCGCTTCATTGTGTTCAATCCTTTTCTCGTGAAAAAATCCTTGGTTGTAAATAGCAAGTTTTCTTCCCGCAGGTGACATACGAACAAAATCTTTTCATCCCATAAATATTTCAGCACTAACTCAAACAAAACGGCAGGTCTCTGGACACTTTTCAGCACAAATTTTCTAGGAAATAAAATTCCACGTTCACGTAGTTCCCCTCAAAACCAACAGGAGTTCACGGAAATGGTTTTATCGTTTCCACATCGAATCACACAGAAGACTAAAAATGATATTACATAATATGAATCTCGTCATCAGAAAGTTTTTCAACTTCGCTTCGAGGTTTTCCATTTAGATTTGAGTTAAATTTGACTTTTATTCATGTCATTCGATAGAATATAGGAATGATTATTCCTCAGATTCGATAGGTGATTATTTATCAAGGTTGCGAAGCTATCAATTTTCTTTACACATCACTGACCACTGACCAAACCGATTCCTCAAACACGTATTTTGCTATGTTAGCATCTTCAAGGGATGATTGAAACTTAACGTGTCGATATCATACAGGGCGAGTCGTAACTATTGGGACATAGGCTAGGGGCAGACTGTTTGGAACAGAATATGGCGATATGGTCAAATTGGCCTCAACAAAATATTAATGTGGAAAAAGATATACAGGGCGTTGGAGTTGGATTTTCCATTTTGTTTTTTTTGTGCAAAATTTCACTGTTACTATCAAAATTGGCACAGAGGCATGCTATTATTTTATGTACTATTTTACATTTTGTTGGTTACTTTTTTGACGAAACTTTCCACATAATATTGGTACTCGATCCTGTTTAAACACGATATTTTTATCCGTTTTCGATAAAACCGGAATTGAACAGTTCGGATAGTTTCGGAAGGGGATTTCAAATATTAGATAAGATTGCTGCCATTACTTGTCAGTGACTAAATGTTGGTGCAAGTCTATAGTCAAAATTTATCGATGGAAATGCCCCGTCCTAATCATTTTACGAATGAAGAATTGCGGGATATGATTTGGCCCACAAGATAATTTTCGCGATCGCTCTGCAGCCATAATGTATCAATTATTATATCCAGGACGAAGGCAACCAAATCACATAACTTTTTCAAATTTATTTTATATAGATGCAGTGGAATTATTACCAAAAAACTAATGAATGAAAAAAAATTCAACGTCCAGTATCTTCGTTATCGAGACATTTTTGGTCTTATCGCAATATTTTGGTCCAAACTATCCGCTCTTAGCCTATGTCCCAATAGATATGACTCACCCTGTATACAGTGTCATTCATAAAGTCGGCATCAAAATATGGAAAAAACTTTTATTATTGACTTATTCTGGAATTCGAGTTGGACGTCAAGTTTTGCTTCAAAAGAGATGAAAAATGGCCTACTCAATCTTGGTCAAAAAAAAATCAAAATCTAAAAGTTGCAATAGGAAGATCAAATTCGAAAAGATTATGTAAAATTGAAATAGAAACAACTTTTTCAAGTAAACTTTTTCGATATTCGAACAAATGAACCTACTTTCAACGATTAATTTGAAAAAATGTCACTTTTGACATGTAGCGAAAGTCACGTGACCCCGATTGAGTAGGCCATTTTTCATCTTTTTTGAAGCAAAAAAATTAATAAAAGTTTTTCCCATATGATGCCGACTTTATGAATGACACTGTATAATATACACAGTGAATTGTACGAGGTACATTGAAATTCAGTATATATAGACAAAAAGGATGCTTTGCTATGATTAGGTACCGTATTTCTTGAAAATGATGAATTTTATGACTGTTTTCCACTGTTTTTTACTTTGATATAATATACATAATGTAATCTATGGTAGAAGTCCATGGTATCTTAAAGTGGAGTGAATGAATTCATAAGCAAGACACACTAAGTCATCTCCACGAATTCATTACATATCTGAATTATCAGTGTCTGTCTATCATGTTTCGGTCTATCAATAGTCCATCATCAGCAGAAGCATTTTTTAAAAGACAATTTCTACAAAGAAAAGTTTTTTATAGTCACAAAAATTATACCTTAGGTTATGTATTCACGTGGAAATGAAAAAAAGAAGGCAACAATAATATTATACAATTGAACCTGGTTGTTTTTAAAACATTTTTTGTAAACATTTTTGTTATTTATTTGTTATGTGATTCATTACGGCTCCTTTCTCACAACTCGCCTGATATTCTTATGTCCATGACACAGGATAATTTTGTGTCACTTGTTATTCGAGACATTACTTCACGCATCCCATGTCAAGTTAACCCCCCACCCCCCTTCACGCTCTACCACGTCATGTTGACCATGATTCTCATGATGGGCCTCGTTCAAACTCTAATTACTTGGATGAACAAGTGTTGGTACCCTCCATAAAGCCCTTTGCCCTTCATTTATTGTAACAATGTAAATTCAATTGTATAATATTATTGTTGCCTCCTTTTTTCACTTCCACGTGAGTACATAACCTAAGGTTTAATCTTTGTAACTATAAAATACTTCGCTTTGTAGAAATCAACTTTTAAAAAATGTAACCAACGTAGGTGATCCATAACTTACAGTGGAGGTGATATAAATCAGGAGGGGTGAAAGAACTTACAGTCACAACTCCACCACATACAAATTTTTGATAATGACCAACGGTCATAGACATAAGTAGGGACATGTTTCGAAGGATTAATCCTTCATCATCAGCAAGGAATCTGAATGTACCTATCATTATTGGAGGAAAAAGTTCACAAAATAAATTGTTTTTAACCGCGCATAGTGCTGGTGAGTTAATGTTATAGAACCATTATTTCAAGATCAATAATAAGAGCTTAGATATTTAAAATAGTGACAAAATTCAATTATCAAAATTAACCAACATGTAGAACTGGATTTGCTGAATTAGGTCGAATTGTCATTTGTCGATTGTCATTTGTGATTAGTTGTATCTGCATTATAAATTAACACTGTATCATCTGCAAAACTGAGCATCTTACCCTTCTTGCTAATATCAAACAGGTCATTTATGTAAATGTTGAACGAAACCGGACCAAGTACTGTGCCTTGAGGTACACCGTGTGCAATCATCATCATCTCACTTTTAATGTTATCAATCTGAACGTATTGTTGTCGATATTAGGAACTGGTTTGATTCTCGAAATGCTGAGATTCAACTAATGTAACGGATTTATTATCTTCACGGATGAGGCATGTTCCAGTCATGAGGTACATTCAACTTTTATTTCAGCTTCGATACAAATATTTGAGAATAAGAGAATGAGGCCTTTTTAAAACCAGAAACGCGATTTTTGCAAACTTAGGCACTCTCTGTATCTGGAATACTACATGGTTCTTTGATTTTTTTCAGTTCATCGAAGTCTTTATTTTCTGATTTCATGAATATTCCTATTGAACTTACTTCTTGATGAATGGATCTTCGAAATGCTGAACCATTCTCGAGTCAAATAGGGTCACACTGTAACTTACTACAGGTAGCGTGATTGATCGTAAATCATGAAACAATGAATTATAGGACCAAGTCGTA